TCCTATTCAGATACGTGTCTTTTGTCTGAATGACGCGCTGTTCAGGTTTCAGGAAATAAGTTGGACGCAAAGCCCATTCTATTCATCTTTTTAACTTTCCGTTTGGACACACACACACACACACACACAGTTTCTGATTTAAGGCGTGCTGCATACAGCTTGGCCATATTTTCCCCTCAGGAGACCTTGTTCTGTCACTCAGTTCAGACAATTTTGGGGGGGATTCGATCTGTTTCTCTGCTGGTCACATCGAAAATGTGAAAAATTAAAGGGAAAGAATTGGAGCCCTTGCTTCATTCCAGCTTGCCCCCGTCTTCCTCCCCCTCCCACTCTCTTTTACACCAACTCTTCACTAAAAAATAAAAATCCGTTCAGATGTTATTGCACACATACAGGTTTTAGACCGATTCCCTATTTTGTTTGGACGCCTGATCCCGGTGTTTCATTCAGTCCCTGCTTTATTCAGTATCCATCTGCACAACAAAAATCAAAAGAACTGCGGATGCTGGAAATCTGAAATAAAAACAGAAACTTTTTTGGAAAAATAAAACTCAGCAGGTCTGGCAGCGTCTGTGGAGAGAGAAACAGAGTTAATGTTTCAAGTCCAGTGTCCTTTGTTCAGTATCCATCCTGCAACGTTTGTCAACATTATTGTATTTTGATTTGATTCATTGTAGTCACATGGACCTAAGCACAGTGAAAAGCATTGTTTTTTGGAGCAGTACAGGCAGATCATAGCAAAAAGAAACACAGCAAGATCATAGGGTGCTTAGACAGAGGGAGGTATATAGATTACAGCTGCACAGGAGGTGCACGCGGCAAGATCAACATTTTTACGAAGTCCTGCTACATTTCAACGAAGGAGAAAACAAAGTGGATGCCTGACATCTAATTCATTTTAAATTATAAAATTAACAGTAAAAATGCTGGAGAAACTCAGGAGTTCTGGTAGTTCCAATGGAGAGGCAAACAGAGTTAGTGTTTCGATTCCGATATGGTCGGAATGTTAAAACTGTTCCTCTCTGTCTCTCCACTGATGCTGCCAGACCTGCTGAGTTTCACCAGCATTCTCATGTTCCATCACATAGCTGGCTACACCGAGCAGCCCAGTTGTAGCGCTTCCCGGCCCAGAGACACCGACCTTCTACGTTTCACTAGCACCATATCAAATTCAGTATTGTACCGTGAGAAATTGGAGCATGAAATTTAACTAGCCGCAGTTGCTATAAAATTTTGGATGTAGATTCCCCTCAGTAATTACAGTATCTAATCGATATCGTTAGTTTAAGGAGGAGAAAGGGATAAATGAGAGAGGGTGGAACAGCGAATTTAATTATCTGAACTACGAAGATAAAGCTTGTTTTTTTTTAAGAAACGGAGACAAAAATTTAACGCATGTTTTAAGAGAAGAATTTTACAAAGAAAGAAATAAACAGAGAAATTGGTAAATAGTCCTATCAGTAGCCCGTTTAATCCCTAACAAACTATGGGAGAAATCCGTAGGAAGAGCAAATCGTCTAATTGGAAAGGGAATGTTTGTGAAAAATACTTAAAATAAGTGATACTATCTTCAATTGTAAATATGCTCCACACCGCAGTTGACTGATGATGAGACCGTTTGTCCTTATTAATCAGCTGTGTTTTTTTTAATTACTGCGTTTAATCCAAAACTTGTTCGCACCAAACCAGTTTGTTGTAAGGTAAAACTCACGGCGTAGTATCCCACAATAAAACAGAAGAGAGTCTTTATCGAAACAGTAACAGCGCTTAAACGAGTGACTGATGATAAACTCGGGTTGTCAGCAAAATAAATGGGAGAATTGAGATTAGGATTTCCAATATTATCATAATGCATCTACTCCTGGCTAAAGCTTCATTAGATCCGTGTTTTCAAGCCACAATTCGTAAATGTGAGGAATTTTAATCAGCTGAGTGACTGTGCTGCTAACCCTCCAATTTAGAATATTAACTAGCGGGCGAAATATTTACGAAATTCTGAACGACGAATAGCATTTTTAAGTATTTCATTTCAGTTCCCCCGAACGCGTTTCTGGGTCAGTTCATCTCTTTTCTATCAAATGTAGTGGCAGTGTCTTTGTTCCGTTTTAAGCATTTGGTCAGAAATAATATTTAGTTTCTTTTAAAATGAAGGAACGTGCGGCCCTCACCCTCCAAATAGAATCTTCCGCGGAAAATGTCAACGATTTTTTCTTTAAAAATATACAAAGCAGAAAAGGCTAGTGTCGAATATCGTTCAATATAAATCAGACAGCAAAGAATACACTGGGATTACAATCAGACACGGCGCAAGCGAGAAAAATAACATACCGAAATCATTCTTTACATTAAAAATAATAAACTTCGCAGCCCTCCCTTAACTACAATCTATAAAGATTAAATACGTCTATTCCTATCACCTCCAAAAGAGCTTCGTTTGCAAATCGGTTCTTAAATGACACCTTTTTAAAAGATCTGTTCATTTTTAAAGTGGAAATCTGTCCTCTTGCAAATCAGCAGCATCCAGTAACGTAGTCTGTGTACAGGCGAGACAAGCGCCAAACGTTACCTGCTGTTTTATCCTTCAAGCTACAGAATCAGAACAAACTGGACCGCGTGCAATCATTTGAAGTTTGTCCAAATATCTGCCCTCAATCATTTTGATTTACAGGAATGTGTTACTGTCTCCGTTCTCTAACGCACATCAATCTCCCTCAATATCGTCCCTGAAATTCACTCAAATATTTACGGGATCTGTATCCCTGTAGCCCGGTAACTGATAAAGGATATCGCCAATTTGCAAAAAAAAAGTTTGTTATCGGACAGTATTCGGTTAAAAGTTAATTCAGCGGCTGCAATGAAAATTACGGAACTCAGACGCTTGTACACTTGCTCCCTGAGTGAAGGGTTAAATGGGAGCTATGTTTATGTGTAATAATCGCGTTTGTATTGAAACCACCAGTAAGGCCGGTGCTGAGTTTGTGCAGGCTCTTGAGTCCTGACTCGATACAGCTCAGCATGGTAAGGTGTATTAATTCTACCTTTATTCCCGGTCCTGGTTGTAATTCGCAATCATTGGCGTCGGTAAAGCTCTTTCCACTCTGTAAAATATGTCAATAAATTTAAACACCAAGAACTCTTGCCACCCCGGAAAATAAACCAGATTACCAATGATCGGCCTTTGTGTTGGTGGAACAACTCCTTCCCCCTCATCAACTGCCAGCTGTCTGCCTATTCCTGCTTTTCACTAACACTAATTACACCGAGGGACTATTACAAATTAACACATTCATTGTTCCTTTATACTTTCTTCAAACTAAATTGTTTCTGAAATGTGGATTTTTTCTCCCCCCCCCCCCCCAGTACAGTAACGTGAATAGTTAAAACTCAAAATCCTGATTGATTTTCTTTAGTAGCAAAAATGTAAACTTACAACTTCGTCCCTGGCTGGGGTGGGTGTGTTATAGAGAGAGAGAGGAAGATCGAAGAGGTCTAGCAAGGGTCCGTCAATCGGAGCTTGTGAAGTCTCTAGGAGCCTCCGCCTGGAATGAACAATTCACCGAATACATTGTAGCTTTTATCTAAAACCACAAAGAAATTCTACCACCATCGGTACAGCACCAAGGAGGCCATTCCGCCTGTTTCCTCTGTGCTGGGCCTCTTTCTGAACCCAATAGGAGCCGATTCTTTTTTGAAGGTTCACACCTCAATCTACTTCCATACCCCTGCATTCCTGAACAAAAAAATCCCTCCTTTTGTCTAGAGATAGTAGGAACTGCCGATGCTGGAGAATGTGAGATAACAAGGTGTAGAGCTGGATAAACACAGCAGGCCGAGCAGGAAAACTAACGTTTCGGGTCTAGACCCTTCTTCAGACCCGAAACGTCAGCTTTCCTGCTCCTCTGATGTTGCTTGGCCTGCTGTGTTCAACAGCTCTACACCTTGTTACCTCCTTTTATCTAACTGTGTTCTGGTTGCAGATACCTGTCGATAGAAATGGTTTACGTCCGTGTTCGCTATCAGAACCCTTCAAACAACGGACTATTATTCCCAATATATTTTGAACATAAAATTGTACTTATCACTGAACTATGAGACAATGTATTTCAACTGTGCTTAAAGCAATATGTCAATAGCGTCCAGCTCAGATGCGTTGGAAATGTTATACGTGTGAGCCCTTACTCTCAATTCTCTCATGGGATGAGGGTGTTATTGTCAGGGGTGCTAACTGCTGCCCATCCCTCACTGCCCTTGAAGTGAGTGGTTTACTTGGGCATGTCAGAGGGCAGCCAAGAGTCAACCATATTGTTGTGGGCCTGGAGTCACATATAGGCCAGACCGGACAAGGACGGCAGATTTCCTTCCCTGCAGGACGTTAGTGAACCAGGTGGGTATCCATCACCGTTCATAGACACCAATTATTTCAACGGTTTTTCTATTCCAGTTTTGTTAATTGAATTCAAGATCAAGATTGGGCGGTGGGGCAGGGAGTGTGGCGTGGGGTTAGGGAGAAGGGTTTAACCCGCATCCTCTGAGTGGAGTTCAATGTCATTACCACCCCGCTTCCCTCTCCTGTACCGAGGGGCCCTATCTTCACGAAGGTCAAGTTTCATTTTGAGGGAGATGGAGAAATCGGATGCCCCACCTGTTCTAGATTGACCCCGAACAGTTTATTGAACCACTTTTTGGCTCCAAACAAGAACATTAATTTACTCTCTTTAAAAATAAAACTGTAGGGGAGATGAAAACATCTGGATCTTAATGTTTGTGATCCAACATTAAACTCCTCCAGGTGTGAATGAAGAGAACGATAACAAACAAAAACGGAAGTTTAAATAGTCGGACGAGGGTGTAAGCAAATGATTGTCTTCGCCAGGAATTGCCAACTTAAAGTGAAAGTCTCATAATTTGTAATAATTGGCGCCTAGTTTCTCGTGGGCATTATTTGAAACAGCCAGGATTAAAATATTATTAATATGGTTCAGATGCTTCAGTTTCGTTGATGGAAAGTTATTAACAACCAGTCAAGAGTCACACAAATCTGTACCTTAATAACCAAAGGGAACAACATACTCCCCTCCCTCTGTTTCATTTTTGAGAGGAGAAACCGAACGAAAGGGAGCGGTGATAATATGGCGTGCAAGGATTGTAAATGTTTGTATTTGGCCTGGTTCCCTTCTAAAGGCTGCAGGGATGTAACATGAATCCGTGTTTAGATTTCAATTCGACTCATGTAGCTGATGAGCGATAAGGCTTCGTGAGATAATGTTAGCTGTTGGTTGGACACGAGTAGAGAGGGTTGAGGAGGGGTGGCCAAGTTATTTTGTGTGTAGTCTGAAGCCTTACAGGTTTGAAGGGCTGTACTACGTTGAAGAGGTGTGGTTGGTGAAAAATAAACTTTTTTTTCCTCTCTCTAAGTTCTATCTGCCAAGGTAATCTTTCTTTTAAGCCAGTTGACAGGCAGACCAGGGAGGAATTGGGCAGGAGGTTTCAGAGTAGAGGCAATAGCCTCCCTTCTGAAACAAGGGTTTTTTTTTGTGCGCCTGTCTATGCTGTACGGTAGGAATACGGATTCTGAATGCCATGTACTGGAAGAGCACAGGGCTGCTGGTGTGTCGTATGGAAAGCAAAGACAAGTACCCGGCTGGTGCGTGTCTCCAGAAGGTGAGAGTTACTTTCTTCTCTATTTACTTTATCGGGGTTTAACCCTCACAGGACAACATCGACTCGGAGAGTAATCTCCCACTGATAGACGCAGTGTTTTGTAAAGTAACTTCACAATAAATAATTTCGTGTTAATTTTCAAACTATGTATCTGGGCGATGTAATGGGACTGCACTGGTTTGAGGAGGGGAATAACCGGAGCGGAAGATTCGGGGTCGATGGAGTTTAACGATTGGGAGTGGGTTACCGAGTCACGATTCTGTCCTGTAGTGACCAATCTAAAAGTCTCATGACTTCTGGCGCACCTATATACCGCTGTCAAGTCTGTATTCGGGTCTAGTCTCTAAGATATAAAGCGCAAAAAAAGACCCATTGGCCCTCCACGTCTATGCCGGTCAAAAACGGCTCCATAACTATTATAATCCCATTTCCCAGACCTTCGCCCCCTATATCCGTGTATGTGCCGGGATCGCTAATGCACATACAAATACTCCTGAAATGTTAAGAGCAGTTTCGCTTTTATTACCCTAAAGTAGTGAGTTCCAGAGACCCACCACACTCTGGGAGCGGGGAAAACCTTCAACCCATCTCTTCCAACCACATTTCCCCCCCGCCCCGGAAAAAGCTTCCTGCCCCCTTACAGCTTCAATAATTGGCACTAAGGAGGTGGGAGAGGGTAATTAATTCAGCAACCTTGTGCTGCTGCGTAAAACCAGCTTGTTTGAGTGGGGAGTGTGTTGGCTTCATTTCGGGGTCCTTGGCCGGTTCCTTCTCGTTCAAGAGAGCAGCAGGGACTCGGAAGGGGTAACCTCCAATTCATACCTATCCACAGAACACCTACCTCTCCCCACTAAACTCCCAGATGGTTGGGGGCTTTAGTTCAGCCCACATACATTCGCTCGTGTCTGTTTTGTGGGGAGGGGAAGCAAGTAGGTTTGGTTTAAATCTGTAACCAAGCAGAGCTGACCTTTCTCGGGATGGTTAACTGGAGTCACCTGCGACAGGGATTATGTCCCCCCTCCCCCCGCTCCCCTTTCTCTTTAAATTGCCCAATTGAGCAAACCTGGCGGATTCAGTCATTACCGTTCAAGTGCCCTCATTAAACCTCTTCACCTCTAGATTGGCCTTTCAAATGCGTTTTGATAGAACAAGGAGTGTTTTAATTGTTGAAATTTTTGACAACTCAATTTTCCCTTTTTTTTGCCTCCTCTTCACTGACTCCAACCTCATTTGGACCGGCGTTAGGAACTGATGGATATAAATGAGGAGCTTTGTGTAACTTCAGGGGAAACGGAGTTTTCTTAAACACTTGAGCAGACCAGCCACTGACACTGGACTGAATACTAACGATTTACTCGAGAGTCTGGTTTTATTCTTGTCAGGAATCAAGGGTATTTGCTTTCCAAATTACACACTTTTTAAAACGATTTACGAGCAATGTCATGGTGAATAGGGTGAGTGGTTAATATTGATATGGGGGGCTTAAATGTTCTCTCTTAAAAGACCTAGCTCTTTACGGGCATCAATGTGCTGGAAGCTTTCTTTTCTCCAAATCTTTGCTCTTTTTCCAGTTTAAAAACCATGTCGGACGACTCCGAACCCACTTCCTCCAACTCTTTTGAAAGGATTTGGAAGCAGAGGAGTGCTTGCAGTATGGTACCTAGCCCCCCAATCACCAATCTCCTCCCGTCATTTAAATATTTGAGACTCGTTTGCACCGGGAGGGGGGCTAACTTTCCTTTTTTTTTGTCTCTTTATTGTAGACTAATTCCGAGCGGGTGGTTAAGGACGAATCCAGTTCCCCAGCTCCTTCGGCCTCGCCGTCCCTGTCTCCACAATCGATGATCTCTTCCAGGTCGTGCAGAAATATCTGTAGCAGCTGCGGCTTGGAAATAGTGGACCGATACCTCCTCAAGGTGAGAGTGAACAGCAACTCGTCCCCACCAGAAAAAAAACACATCGGGTCTAATTGATCATTGCCTATTCATTTGGGAGTAATTCTGAAGCAGAATAGACTTCGCCACCAAGAGGCAGCAATGAAATAGCCAAGATTGTAAGTTTGACCGGACGGTGGTAGAATAGATGTGGGACTAGTGTAGGAGAGATATTGTTATCGGTGTACACTCCGAGGGAGTCCTCTGTACTGCACGAACGGCCTCCTACTATTCGAGTGAAAATAACTTTTCCGTACTTACTGTTTGACGTATCCGGGTGTCACTTTTGAGTCCATTAAAACCAAGTCCCTGAGTTCTATTTTAAAGGTCACAGGGTTGTGGAGACTAAGCTCCGTCAAGGGTTGCTGAGTTATGGCCGTTCTTTCTCTCTCTCTCTCTCTCTCCCTCCACCCCCAACCACGGGACCAAATGTCGCTCTTTCTCAGAGTAAACCCCATCTGTTTGCCGGTGGAAGCAAAATTCAGTGGCCCCGTTTAAAGGCCTCTTACCACTCTTTACCCAGCAACACGGAATAGAGGCTCTGGCTCCAGCGCCCTGGATAGGAGCTTGCTGCGAGCAAATTGTTTACCACCTTTCTCCACGACAACCATGCACCCTCAGAGCGTGAGAGACACGAGTCTGTTTCGAATCTCCCGCCCCCGAGGCACACCCCTGAACTTGTGAAGCCGCTTGTTGAAAGCGCTATTTAAATACAGGCTGTTAAAGGTCAGTTTGTGTCTGTTTTGAGTGACCTATCATGAACCCGTGTTCTCCCTTTGACTGCACCAGGCCCCTTTTAAAGCTTCCAATCTTTTTCTCCCTCCCCTTTTTTCTATTGAACCGTCTCTTAAATTAAGACTGGACCCTGTGTACGTCCTGTTACCAGCAAGACATTAACTAACAGGGATACGTTCCTTTACAATCTACAAGTCTTCATAATTTCTTTTTGGAGATAGTGGCTGCTGCAGTTATTGGATTACAGGTAGACTCCCTGAATTTAAAACCCATCATCAGTGGAAATAACAAGGTGCAGGGCTGGATGAACACAGCAGGCCAAGCAGCATCATAGGAGCAGAGAGGCTGACGTTTCGGGCCTAGACCCTTCATATCTCTGATCAGTGGAAATAACCCGGTTTTAAACGTTCTGAGGAAGGGTCACCGGACCCGAAACGCTAACTGTTTTCTCCTTCACAGATGCTGCCAGACCTGCTGAGCTTTTCCAGCAACTTTTGTTTTTGTTCCTGATTTACAGTATCCGCAGTTCTTTTGGTTTTTATCCGGTTTCAAATGTGACCCGGATTACTTTAGAAATCCAACAAACACCGGATTTGGCCAGGAAATGCCGTCCATTTGACCCTAAATGGGAATCAGCCCCAAACCACTGATCTAACTGCTCATTGAGTTAACAAATCACTGCAAGGTGATACAGCGTTTGAGAGACCTCGCCTTGGGCGTGATTTGGAATGTGACGGTGATAACCCACAGCCCCGGAACATTGACCAGTTTGAAAAGAATGTTCATCCAGCCCTGCACCTTGTTGTCTCGGATTCTCCAGCATCTGCAGTTCCTACTATCTTTGAAAAGAATCATTTGGTTTATCCCAAGCTTTTACCCCTACCCTGTTTTCTGCATTTTTAGTTATTTCTTCAACTCCCTTGTGAAGTTGTTATTGACTTCACTGCCGTTTGAGGAAGGACTTTAGGGCAGCATGGTGTCTCGGTGGTTAGCACTGCTGCCTCACAGCACCAGGCACCTGGGTTCAATTCCACCCTCGGGCAACTGTCTGTGTGGAGTTTGCACATTCTCCGTGTCTGCGTGTGCAGGCTAGGTGGATTGGCCGTGCTAAATTGCCCGTAGTGTTCAGGTATATGTAGATTAAGGGGATGGGTCTGGGTGGGATGCTCTTGAGGGTCGGTGTGGACTTGTTGCACCCAAGGGCCTATTTCCAAACTGTAGGGATTCTATGATGATGACTTTCGGATCAACGCAAAACGCTTGATAACTTGCATCTCCCCAGTCTCTTCCGGCAATGTTAAACCTACGTGTAGAAATATTTTTTCTTTCTAATAAAACGCTTGACCACAAAAACTTCGGACATCCTGAAGCCGTGAGCAGGCGCCATCCAAATGTTGCTTTATTCTTTTTCAATTGAAGTGAGCGGTGGCTAACGAGAACCCGTTTTTGTTATCCTTCCCCCAAACTGGTGGTAGTGTGCCTGGGACAGAACATTTCAGGCCCACATACCGCCGCAAACTCTTCTGAACTGGTTTAAAATGTTTATGCCTGTCCCCCATTACCCATGAACTAAGTGGCTCATTAGGGGCCGTTTGAGGGCAGTTAAGTGTCAACCACATTGCTGTGGGTCAGGAGTCACATGTAGGCCAGACCAGGTAAGGATGGCAGATTTCCTTCCCTAAAGGATTTTATCTGAAACCCATCTGGTTCACCAGACAACGGTTTCAAAGTCATTATTAATAATCCGGAATTGAGTCTCTTGAATTCAAATTCCACCATCTGCCTTGGCGGAATTCAAACCCAGGTCCTCAGGAAAATTACCTGAGTTTCTGGATTAATAGTCGAGTGATAATAGAACTAGGCCATCGCCTCTCCCGATGAGTCCACTGACCCACCATCTCCCCTGTAAATAATAGTTTAAACCTGTCGATCCGGGTCTGGTAGATCACAGTGAAGGTTGTGTGTGAGATTCCTCATGGAGGCTCTGTTCTCTATATGTCCAGGTGAATGAACTATGTTGGCACGTCCGATGTTTGGCCTGTAGCGTGTGCAAAACCTCCCTGGGCCGACATACCAGCTGTTACATCAAGGATCACGAAATATTTTGCAAACTGGATTATTTCAGGTACTGATCATATGACCCTGTTAGACATTCTAAAGATTCCTACCGATCAACTCGGGACGGGCATAGAGTGCAAGAGGGCAGTTTTCAGCAGGGCTATGATTCAGAACCGGCTGCAGTTCCGAATGTGCAAGGTCTTAATCTCCAATCCGGGGGTTCCCAGTTCCGAGCAATAAGGTTCCCCACTCAGGCACCTGAGGTATCAGTAAGGCTTTAAAATTAGTGTCGACTCTAAGGTGAAATGGCGTGTCTGTATGCGAGAGAGAAACGTTCCAGCTCAGATTCCACTTGCTTCATTGTAGGTATTGGAGAGATTTAAACGAATTTCCAAAAGGGGAACTAAGATAGATGTCACGTTCAGTTGTACAAGACAGCTTAAGTTTGAAACTTGAGCCTTACTGTTTTTCTTTATAAACAATATTTACACAGCGCCGACTTCCACTCCAGGACAAACCTCCGTTGGAGGATCGGATCAGCCCTGCATTTCAGTCCCTATGCATTTGTATTAATTCACATTTTACAACTGTCTCCCATTGCTTTGTTTTCCCCCGCCCAACAAAAAAAAAATCTTCGGTTGGGCACGAATGTGTGCGTGTGTGTGGGCGCCACTAGAACGGGCTGGACTCAGCCTGAAATCACAGCCAAGCCTTTCAGGACTCAACTTGCGAAGCAGCTCCATATAGGGACAGTGGGGTGTTCTCTTCCACAAACAGCAATGAATGTTGAATCCAATTTTAAACCCGAGGCTCTTTGTTAGTCAAATATATCTCAGAATTGTTGTCGTACGGATGAAGGCTATTCGGCGCGTGTTTACACTGATTCTCTGAACACTAACTTTGTCCCAACCTGACTTCTGAGGAAGGGTCCAGACCCGAAACGTCAGCTTTCCTGCTTCTCTGACGCTGCTTGGCCTGCTGTGTTCGTCAAGCTCTAAACCTTGTTATCTCTTTTGTCCCAATCTCCTGTTTTTTTCCCCATGCCCTTGCATATTTTCTATTTAAATCATCCAGTGCCTCAGTTGAAACTACCTTCAACGTGTTTCCAGGTAGAGCATTCCAGACCCAATATAATGGCATGGAAGTTTTTGTTTATTGCTTTCACAGAACGCTAAAAACTCTGCCATCACCTTTACCAGCAGGAGCTGTTTCACTGTATCTGCTGACCATTCCTGTCAAATCAACTTTTTAACCTTCCATCCAGTTATTTTAGAATAGTAGAAATGGGCAAAGATGCTATTGTATGGAGTCAGCCTGGATCGATTAAAATGGCAGAACAGATTGGAGACTAAATAGTTTCCTCCTATTCAATATCCCAATTTTAAGTGCCTTTTAAAAGTTGTGCAAGTGTGATCAAATAGGCACCTAGTGAATGGACTATGCTGTACACCTGGTCTGCTGTTTATCATTGGAACTTGTGTACAGCCAACGTGTTTGGTTACACATCCATAGGAACATTCTACCACAATTAAAATTAAATCTGTCCATCTTGGTAACTTCCCTGCTGAATCAGAAGTCAGAATTTTACATTTCAGAATTGTACCTGACTAGGCAGTGTTTTGTTGTTCAGGTGCCAGCTCTCTCTGAAGATATCAAACACCTTGTCTACCATCTTGCATAAATGATCATATGTTAATATTTCAGAAGTGAGCAGGTGGCTTCTCCCAGTGTCCTCAGCCAATGATTATTCTGAATCAACAAAGTTCAGCTGCTTTTGTTTGAGTTCCTGCTATGCACTTTTTTTCCTGTATTGCTATGCCATGGCCATGCTTCAATAGTCTGTCATAAAGTGCTTTGAGACATCTGAAAGGTGCTACACAAATGTAGTTCTTTCTCTTTGTTCTTTAGCATGAAGCAGTTGAATGTTTCTAGGAAGAAAAAGCAATAACTTTTCTCTCTACCATTTGTAACCACCAGCCCAAAATGATTGTTTCACCAGGCGTTATGGAACCCGGTGCTCTCGCTGTGGTAGGCACATCCATTCGACAGACTGGGTCCGCAGGGCCAAAGGCAATGTCTATCACCTGGCATGCTTTGCCTGTTTCTCCTGCAAGAGGCAGCTGTCCACTGGGGAGGAGTTTGCTTTGGTGGAAGAGAAGGTTCTCTGTCGGATACACTATGACTGCATGTTGGACAACCTCAAAAGGGCAGCTGAAAATGGTAACTTGGCTTTTTTATTTTAACTGTGGAGTTGAGGATACCTTCAGTGGTGTTAACTGATATAGTTGCTGAACCTGGCTGGGTATATTCCAGGAGATGGCAAATGACCATAGATCTTTTGTCCTACCCAGGTGACAGCTTGATAGCCAGTGAATTAATCAGAATGACCAACCTTAGCCAATCAGAAAACAAGCATTCTCTATCTAATTGGATGGTTCTTGATTCAGTTGAAATGTCTTCTCTCTGCCTCACTTATGCTGCTTATTCACTGGTACATTTTGTTGCTACCTCTCTCCTCCTGAGTTGCTAATAGAGGGCTTTGGGACTATACTCATTGGAGTTTAGAAGGATGAGGGGAGAATCTAATTGAAACTTTCAGAATACTGAATGGCCTGGACAGTGGATGTTGGGAAGATGATTCCATTGGTAGGAGAATCTAGGACTTGAGGGCACAGCCTTAGAGTAAAGGGAAGACCTTTTTTAGAACAGAAATAAGGAGAAACTTCTTCAGCCAGAGTGGTGAATCTATGGAATTCACTGTCACAGAAGGCTGAGGCCAGGTCATTGAATACATTTAAGACTGAGATAGATAGGTTTTTGATTATCAAGGGTTATGGTGAGAAAGCAGGAGAATGGGGTTGAGGAACTTATCAGCCATGATTGAATGGCAGAGCAGACTCAATGGACTGAAAGACCTAACTTCTGCTCCTAGGTCTTATGGTCTTATACTGTCCATTTTTAATCCCTAGTAACTAGAGGGCAGTTCTGATGGGATAGTGACCCAAACCCTCAAAAGGACACACTGAAAACAGATGCTGAAGATCCAAAATTGCTGGAAAACCTCATGTCTGGCAGCATCTATGAAAGCAAGCAGAGTTAATGTTTTCAGTCCATTGACTCTTCAGATGTGAGATTGGAGAGTGCGGAAGTGATCTGAGAATAGTTCTAAGGATAAGAAACTTCAATTGAGGATAGATCAAAGTTGAGACCCTTCTCCTTTTTGAGAATGCTGAGGGGAATTTTCAAAATTTAGCTAGTTATACAGTGAACAGGGAGAAGCTGTTTCCATTTATAAGGAATAAGAACATGAGGGCATAGATTTTAAAGTAAAGAAAAAGAACTATGGATGCTGTAAATCGAGAACAAAAACAAGTTGCTGGAAAAGCTCAGCAGGTCTGGCAGCATCTGTGGAAGAAAAAAATCAGATCCTCTGAGGAAGGGTCACTGGATCTGAAATGGTAACACTCATTTTTTTTTTTCCACAGATGCTGCCAGACCTGCATAGATTTTAAGTGTGCAAATGAAACAAGAGCAATATGAGCCACTGTCTTTCACTTAGTGAGTTGTTTGGGTATGAAAACACTGCTGAATCCTGGTGGGTGCAGGTACAATTGAGGCTTTGGATTATGATGTCCAGGGACATGGGGATGGGAGAAAGGAGGAGACAGGGCACTGGCACTAGATAATAGAAACAGACTAGATAATAACTGGTGCAATCTTGATGGGCCAAATGGCGTCCTGCATTGTAGGGATTATTGTGGGCATTACTGCATTAGTATGTTGGAGGCTGCTGTATTTTTCACATTATAAGTGACCACACTTCCAAAAAAATTCTTTGCCTGCAAGTTACTTTGGGCAGCTGAGGTTGTTACACAAATGCAGTTTTAAACTTTGCAGTGTGGGTGCTACTAGCAATTGATGATCATTGCCCTTGAGTTGGTGAATGCTGTCCTGAACTACTGAAGTCTGAAGATTGAGATTCAGTGAGACTTAAATCCAGTAGCTGTTAATTTTCCAAAATTGACAAACTTCTGGAAATCTTCCATCAGATTGAAGCTGCTAAATATAACTGGTAGAATGATTTGAAAATAAGCACTATTAGTTAGCTTAGCCTTCTTCATGAAGAAGGCTGTATATCTTTAGGGGTTTAGAGATAGTAGGAACTGCAGAGCTGGAGAATCTGATAT